TGGACCAGGGTTGAACCTATGTCCCTGCACTGGCAAGCAGATTGCAAACCACTCAATCACCAGGGAATTCCTTGCAATCACTCTTAAAGGTCTTTGTACAAATATCCTTTAAACGTCTAAGAGTTTATATATATAAGACAGGAAGATATAAATAACTTATTGCATGTTTCTATTATAACACTCAGGTTTGCAGTAGTATTTGGATGGCATTTTAAATAGTATGCACTCTTGTATTCCCCAAATCTAGCCAGTCCATCAGCCTCAATTGCACATTTACATATAGGGATGGATGTCATTAAGATTGAGAGGGTAACAGGCAGGAAGGCCAGAGGTCCCCAAGTGGCAGGAGGAAATAAACTGCAAGTGGCATATGTTTTTTCCTTCTCTACACAAAATTAAGAGGCTTCTTTCAATTCTGTATTGAGGACAACTGGTTCTGCCTTGAGCTAACCAATGCATTTTTCTTATGTTAATGAAACTATGTATTTGCTTAGGAATTTGCCTTTCTTCAAAATGGTTCTACCTGAGACTAACTTTTTTTCTTTTCTCAAACCTTGGTCTCAACAACCCAGAATTTCTGTCAATTGTTTTATGGTTGGGCGATGACTCATCTCGTGCCATCCTATCTCAAAGTGCATATTGTGGACGAGGGGCCTGGTGAAACTCCCTCAGCCTTGAGGTGTCTCTCTCACTTCATTAATAGCTTTCCAACAGACAGAAAACACCTTGCTGAAAATCAGCAAGGGGACACTCTGTCCCCTTCTGATGTCTATGTCAGAAGCTTTCCATGTCTCTATTATACTTTAATAAAATTTTGCAACACAAAAAGCTCCAAGTAGTTAAGCCTCGTCTCTGACCCCGTATCGAAATCCTCTCCTCCGGAGGTCACGAATCCTGGCATAATACACAGTTTACAGCAGCAAGCTTTCAATCTTTTGCTGATTAAGAGAAGAAGATGGAAGAGAAGCTGTAATTTAATTTTAAATACTTCACATATATTTCATTTTAGCCTTTCAAAGTTTGAATAATTGGAAACAATTCCTATTTTTTTCTTTTCTACCATTTTTCTTCTTATTTTCCCACTGTTGAAAAAAAAAGGAAGGGAAGATGGCAGAAAGGGAGGCAAGAAAGAAGGGAGAAAGTAGTTGACCTTCAGTTTACACTACAGTGGACCCAAGCAGCCTGCTGGGTCAAGGTTTCTTACTATTTCATGGGTGCTGTATGTAGTGCAGACATTTTTTCAAATACAGTAGATGGTCATTTCTTTTAAAGCAGTAAACTACATTAGAAAGAAAAAGTGGAAGAATAGTCCTTTATTTTTTTAACTTGGAAGATAAATTTGAAACCCCTCCCATAAAATGGAGGAAGGGACAAAGAATTAAATGTGAGGTTTTCACATTGTCATGAAAGCTGTACACCAAGAATAACAGTTTAATATGTTGCCAGTGAAGAAAGCAGAAAACAAATAGAATTGAGCCTTATCCTTTCTATTGTCCCAGACAAAAATAATGGAAAAAAACCAAGTGCTAGCCACGGGGGAGAAACAGAAAAAAGTACTTAAAGATACAGGAAATGGGGAGTGGGGGAAGATTTATATAAGTCAATGTAGACAAATAAACAGAAGAAGATTTCCTAAAAGAAAAGAAAAATGAGATTGGCTTCAGCTGTCTCCAGAAAAGTAAGTAAAAGAGGTTCATGGAATAACTGAGAGGGCACAGATAAAAACTAGACTGTGACAATGTGAGAAAGAAACAGAAATGTCAAGACCAAAAGCGAAAATTAGGAAGTGATGGTATAGACATGGTCAAGAATCCATCTGCTATTGCAGGAGACACAAGGGGCCTGGGTTCAATTCCTGGGTCGGGAAGATATCCTGGAGAAAGAAATGGTACCCCACTCCAGTATCCTTGCCTGGAAAAATCCATAGACACAGGGGCCTAGTGGGCTAGTCCATGGGGTTGAAAAGAGTTAGATACAACTCAGCACAAGCATTTCATCATCAGTAAAGAAACTGATTAAATATAAACTTAATTGCAAATAAATTATGAAACTTAAGGAAATTACCAAAATTCACAGCTGAGAGAGAAAATGGAATACAGAAGTACTAAAATCAGATAGCCTGTTAGCTCATATTTTTTAAATTTTAAATGGGACAGAAAATAAAATTGTGTTTGGTTTAAAATATTGGAATATTCAGAAACAATGAATTTTTTGGCCAACCCAAATACAAAGGGTAAGAAAGCAATGAACAGAAACCTCAATTAAATAGAGATGGGAGACCAGAAGGGGGTGCTCTCACCCCTACAACAGGAAGACTCCAACAGCAAAAGCAAAGACTTCCCCTTCTTCCCCCGGCAACAGATCAGCCAGTGAGAGTCTGCCAGGACTCAGCCAAGGAGAACACCACGGGCTGTTTATCGCAGCCGTCTTAGCTTCTTTTCACTCTAAAAACAGAGGTCTTCTCCATGTTTGCCGAGGACTTGCACAGCCGTGCTTACAGACCTCAAATTGCGATTGTTAATCCTGAATATCCATTTTGCTGGAGAAAAAAACTGGCTGTGTATTTGTTTTAGGTCAGCAAAAGGACATCAAGAGACAAGCTAATTTTTTTTTTTTAATGAATTTATTTATTGGCTGTGCTGGGTCTTTGTTGCTGCGAGGACTTTTCTCTAGTTGCAGCAAGTGGGGGCTACTCTTCATTGCAGTGCATGGGCTTCTCATTGCGGTGGCTAAGAGACAAGCTAATTCTTAATTTTTATAATCAGACAAACAGCATAAAGAATATTTTTAAAAAATTAATATAATTACCAGGACTATTTAAAAGGAATAGATGTACTTCCTAGTTGAAAAACATAATATTCCAATATTCACATTCTCATCTTTTCCATATTTTGAATTTTAGTATTTCCAGACACTTCTCATAACTTCTACTCAGTCCAAACTCCTGTCTTCTCTCACAGAGTTACTACAATAGCCTTCTAGTCTTAGTTGCTCTACTTCTTCCTTTAAACTTTTAGTTTATTCTCAGCACAGCAGTCAGTGATCACTAAAAAATGACATAAGAGTTTATCTCTGCAGTGCCCAGAGCATTCTCTTTCAGAGTCAAATCCAGTGGCATAATGACCAGTAAGAGCCTATAAATTTAGTCCTCCTGCCTCTGATCTCCTAAACTTCTCTGTCTCCTTATTTCTGTTTCAGCAACTGTAATCTTACTGTCTCCTCAATAGGCCAGGTATGCTCCTGCCTTAGGGCATCTGCCTGTTGTTCTGTCAGAAAGCTTTCCACCAGTATTTAGTTTGGCTCACTTCTCATCTTCCGCAGGTCCTTCTTCAAATGCTTGAACTTGTCGGTCAAACATGTCTTAACTTTGCGTAAAATTGTAAAATCGATCTCATCAACGGTCCTGGTCCCCTTTCTTGTTCTTATTAGCATGCATCAGTATCTAAATACATACCATTTATTTATTTTATTTACATAGAGTTGATTTACAATGTTATGTTAGTTTCTGGTGTACAGCAAAGTGATTCAGTTATGCAGCTATACATATTCTTTTTCAGATTATTTTCCCTTATAGTTTATTACAAGATATTGAATATAGTTCCCTGTACTATACAGTAGGACCTTGTTTATTTTATGTAGTTTGTATTCGAAAATCCCTAAATTCTAACTTATCCCTCCTCTACCCCTTTTCCCTTTGGTAACCATAAATTTGTTTTCTGTGTCCGTGAATCTGTTTCTGTTTTGTAAATAAATTCATTTGTATCACTTTTTAGATGCCACATATAAGTGATACCATATGATACTTGTCTTTCTCTGCCTGATTTATTTCACTTAGTATGATAATCTCTAGGCCTATGTATTTTGCTGCAAATGGCATTATTTCATTCTTTTTTCCTTTTAATGGCTGAGTTATTTTTGCTATTATTTTTCTTCTTTCTTTCCCTTTGACAATTTAAGCTGCATGAATGCAGAGGCTGTGCCAGTTTTATTTACTAGTTTATTTCTAGCATCTACAACAATGCCAGGTGCAAAACAAGTGTTAAATATACCTTGTTAAATAAATGAATAATGCAATCATACAACAGTGAAAATGAATAAACTTTTCATATATGAAGATAGGTGAACCTAAAAAGTTTAGCATGTAAATCACATTCAGCATGTAAGTCACAGAAAAACATATAGCAGATTCTATTTACATAAAGATGAAACACCTTGCAAAAGTAAGCACATTGTTTTAGGGGCACCTATTTGAGATGTACTAATCAGGCTAAGCCAAGAAATGCTTAACACAGTATAGAAAAATCGGGAGCATCGTGGACAGGTCTTCCAAGATTCTGGTCAAGTTCTCCTTTGAAGCAGAATGTTGAGTATATGGGTGTTAGTTTTATTATGCTTAAACATACCTGTTCATACATTATCCTCCGTGTACACATTAAAATAATTAAAAATAATCAAAACTAACTGGTAGGAGCTAGGGCGCACAGACCTTAAAGGCGTCAAAATTCAGGGGTTTTATTCAAATGATTTTGCCTGTCTAACAAAACAAGTCATGCAGCTGATTGAGGCAGCAAGCATTTTGGAGATGACCCGCCTTATTTGTGAATGCTCCCTCGCAGGGCAACCCCAGCGCACAGCTGGGCCCAACAGCTCCCCAGAAGAGAGAACGTTCCCATCTCCTAAGTGGCGGCGCCAGCGGCGCCCCTGGGAAGTGTAGTAGGCGCGAGCCCGTAGGCATGCCGGGAGTCGTAGTTCTCCTGGGTTTGCGGGGTTGCAAGGAGGGCTCGCGGCTTTCTCGGGGCTCGTGGCGCGGGTGATCCCGGCTCTGCTAGGGAGGCCTCCCGGGGACTGAGAAGCTCTCGGTTGCATCTCCCAGTGGCAGTCAGAGCCAGCACGTGTGCGGGTCTGGGCTAGGAGGTGTGCCGGCCGGGCGGGGCTGCGCGCAGGCACGAGGGAGATACCGAGGCCGAGTGGGTCTGGAGGCGGTCTGCACGGCCCAGGCCGCGATGCTTCGAGGGGAGTCGCTGCCCTGCCCCCACCTCCACCCCTCCCGAGGGAGGGTCGCGGGGAGGGAGCGCCCAGTCAGGTGAGTTGGGGTGGTCCGGGACTGCTGTTGGTGGGAGTCTTTTGTGGCTGGCTTTTCAGAGATTTCTGGTGAAACAGACAGTAACAACAATGGCAATGCCTATGGAGACTTTATCTGTGCCGGGTACTAATCTGGCACCTTGGATGAATGAACTCATTTCAACCTCAGATAACAGGTAGATCCTGTTTTACAGATGAAGAAAATGAGGCACCGGTAGACAGCTAATTTGCCCATTAACCGGGGCCTTGGACTCCACCATGATCCATTTTGCCTCTACTGTGTACTTAGCCGTTTTGTTTCTTGGGGAAGGTCACTAGACTCCCTGGTTCTCAGTCTCCCTCACATCTGTAATATGAGGTAGCAATACTTTCTAGAGTGGTTGTGCGGATTAAATAATACATGCAAGATACAAGATGGGGAGAAGACGTGCATCATAGAGTAGCCATGTCACTGATACAGCAGCTTTCCTTCTCTGGCTGACTTTACACAGCATACTCAGTTTGTTGAGCTTTCATGCCAGGTGCTGTACCTGTGGAACCTACCGCAAACTTAGGTGGCTGGTGCAGGCAGCCTTGGCCACCACTCTTCTCTGACAGTGGTCTGCCTGCTTCTCTTACCTTGCTTTCCCAGTTATGAAGAACAAAGGATATGGGGAGCTGTGGATGCTGAAAGAGGTGGCACCTGTGGAATTTGTGTTTAGGCGTGGCATCCGAAACGGTGTGCATTACGCGTGCCAGCCCCCTGGGAAGAACACGGCAGTCCAGGAAGGAGCCTCGGAAGCCCCTGCGTTGGCCTTTCTGTTGCGGGAAGGGGACCCCTTCCAGGGCCTGAAACTGGGCTTTTGTCTAACACTCAGAAATGAATTGTCCGAGGAGACACGTGTGCTTGCAAAGCAAGAGATTTTATTGGGAAAGGGCGCCCAGGTGGAGAGCAGCAGGGTCAGGGTCAGGGAACCCAGGAGAGCTGCTCTGCCACATGGCTGGCAGTCTCGGGTTTTATGGTGATGGGGTTAGTTTCCGGGTTGTCTTTAGCCAATCATCTGACTCGGAGTCCTTCCTGGCGGCGCACGCCTTGTTCAGCCAAGATGGATGCCAGCGAGGAGGATTCTGGGAGGTGCGAACAGGTGATGTCTCCTTCTGACCTTTCCTGAACTCTTCTGGTTGGTAAAGGCTCATTAGTTACCTGTTCCTTACCAGGACGTCCTGTTGTAAAACAGCTCATGCAAATGGTTACTGTGGTGCCTGGCCAGGGTGGGTGGTTTCAATCAGTGTGCTTCCCCTAACAATTCCATAGAAAAAGAGATGACACGTGTGGGCAAGCTCCTTTATTGTGGTCTCTTCAGGAAGGAAATGGTGAAGCAAGGCAAACAGGCTTAGGATTGGCTAGATATGTTTGAAAAGTGGCAGTCTGGGGCACTCATATTCGCTGTGAATGTTTGAATGTATAGTTTAAAGCTACCTTCAGGACGCCAGAAGTCTGTGATGAGTTGCAGATTGCTTAGATATAGCTAATAGAGCCCAGTGGATGTTAAAAGCATCTATATATGGAAATTAGAAGTATGGTTAATACAAGGCAAAGATGGAGGTTGGCAAATTGTCTTAGAACTTAATTGGCTTAGTAGGCACACTTTCAGACTTGGTTTGCGTCATTTGTATGGCGTGGCTTTGTTTGGGTCTAATGGACATTATGGGTAGTTGTAACTTCATTTTTCCAAGCCATGCTTTAACACAGAGTTCTTCATGACACCTTTTTTTCTTTGCAGACCTACCTTGTCAAGCACTCTGCTCTCCCTTGACAGGAAAGCTGAGAAGGAAAGAATGGCCTTGGATTTGCTGCCTGCTCAGATGACAGTAAGTAAATTTTGTCTTTTTCATGAATTTCCCACTGTGTTCAGAGATGGTGGACATATTTCCATTCTTTGTCCAGCTACTCTACTTTCCAGTGAAAACTGTGGCTAATCTAGAGTCTGATAGGTTTTTCCCGTGATCCTGGACTTATGAAGGGGTTGCTGAGGAATGTGCATCCTCTGTCCCTAAACAGAGGTCACCCTTAATTCACCCCCAAACTCACTTCATGACCAAAGATTGAGTCGGCTCTGAACACAGGCTTCCAGATAGGATAGGTGCCTGGTGAGGAGTACGGGGTATAGGCAGTCTTTATCTTCACAGGGGACAGAGTATCACTGGAGCAAAGCCTTGGAAGGGCCACGAGGCACGCTTGGCAGGCATTTGTGGAGCTCTGACGGTGTACAGGGTACTGTGCGTGGCGCGCGGATACAGAGGAGAGGTGCTGTTTCTGTCCTCGGGGAGTTTGGTGCTGATCTTAGGAGATGACCGAATGCCCAAGAAAATTCAGGGGAGAGATTGGAGAAGTGTTATTTTGAGCTGGTACTGAAGGTTAGGACTGATACCTGGTGGGCGTCACAGAAGGAATTGGACTTGACCTCAGCTCTCAGGCTGGCACTGGGGAGGACAAAGGACTCCCTCTTTCCTGGCACCTTCTCTGCCTTGTGCAACTGTGATGCTAAGCCATCTCATGTCCCTCTCATCCACTGGGTGCCTCTATCTCCTTCCCTTTTGTTTTTTCCCTGCTACTTCAGATCCCCCCTCCAGCTCTTGTTTCTTGGTCCTTTTGAGATCTCTTTTCATTATTTAACGCTCATTTTTCTCAGGATCTTTATCGAATCTCTCTCCTCAGACCTGAACTTTTTCCTAAAGATCCAGTCTGTCATTCCCAAACTCTTATGAAATATTTCTACATGGAAGTTCCGTCATTCTCCCAACACCAACTTTCTTCCCTTGTTTGTCACTGGCTGCTTTTCTAGAAAGTAGTGGTAGCCCACAGTTTGAAAATGTGGACTCTGGAAGTTGATTTTATGAGTCCACGCGTGGACTAGAATGTGACTAAATAAAATTATTTTCTCCCTCTGTGCTTTGTTTTCTCATTTGTAAGTGTGGTTAGTAATATACATGCCTCGTTTAAACTTGCTAATAGAGGACTGCTAGTATCTGCATTTTACAGATGGGGAAACTGGGGCACAGAGAAGCAATTAACTTAATCACAGTTTTGTTGTTGTTCAGTTGCTCAGTCGTGTCCAACTCTTTGCGACCCCATGGACTGCAGCACGCCAGGTTTCCCTGTATTTCACCATCTCCCGGAGCTTGCTCAAACTCATGTCCATAGAGTTAGTGACGCCATCCAACCATCTCATCCTCTGATCATTCCCAAACTCTTATGAAATATTTCTACATGGAAGTTCCGTCATTCTCCCAACACCAACTTTCTTCCCTTGTTTGTCACTGGCTGCTTTTCTAGAAAGTAGTGGTAGCCCACAGTTTGAAAATGTGGACTCTGGAAGTTGATTTTATGAGTCCACATGTGGACTAGGAATGTGACTAAATAAAATTATTTTCTCCCTCTGTGCTTTGTTTTCTCATTTGTAAGTGTGGTTAGTAATATACATGCCTCGTTTAAACTTGCTAATAGAGGACTGCTAGTATCTGCATTTTACAGATGGGGAAACTGGGGCACAAAGAAGCAATTAACTTAATTGCAGTTTTGTTGTTGTTCAGTTGCTCAGTCGTGTCCAACTCTTTGCGACCCCATGGACTGCAGCACGCCAGGTTTCCCTGTATTTCACCATCTACCGGAGCTTGCTCAAACTCATGTCCATAGAGTTAGTGACGCCATCCAACCATCTCATCCTCTGTCGTCCCCTGCTTCTTCTGCCTTCAATCTTTCGCAGCGTCACGGTCTTTCCTAGTGAGTCAGCTCCTCACATTAGGTAGCCAAAGTATTGGAGCTTCAGCTTTAGCCTCAGTCCTTCCAATGAATATTCAGGATTGATTTCCTTTGGGATTGACTGGTTTGATCTCTCTGCAGTCCAAGGGACTCTCAAGAGTCTTCCAAAACAGCACAGTTCAAAAGCATCAGCTTTTCTCTATGGTCCAACTCTCACATCCATACATGACTACTGGAGAAAGCATAGCTTTGACTAGATGGACCTTTCTCGGCCAAGTAATGTTTCTGCTTTTTAATATACTGTCTAGGTTTGTCATAGCTTTTCTTCCAAGAAGCAAGTGTCTTTTAATTTCATGACTGTAGTCGCCATCTGCAGTGATCTTGGAGCCCAAGAAAATAAAGTGTGTTACTGTTGCCATTGTTTCCCCATCTATTTGCCATGACGTGATGAGACTGGATGCCATGATCTTCGTTTTTTGAACGTTGAGTTTTAAGCCAACTTTTTCACTCTTCTCTGTCACCTTCATCAAGAGGCTCTTTAGTTCCTCTTCACTTTCTGCTATAAGGGTGGTGTCATCTGCTTATCTAAGGTTATTGATATTTCTCCCTACAGTCTTGATTCCAGCTTGTGCTTCATCCAGCCTGGCATTTCACATGATGTACTCTGCATATAAGTTAAATAAGCAGGATGACAGTATACAGCCCTGATGTACTCCTTTCCCAATTTTGAACCAGTCCATTGTTCCATATCCAGTTCTAACTGTTGCTTCTTTACCTGCATATAAATTTCTCAGGAGGCAGGTAAGGTGGTCTGGTATTCCCATTTCTTGAAGAATTTTCCACAGTTTGTTGTGATGCACAGTCAAAGACTTTAACGTAGTCAATGAAGCAGAAGTAGATGTTTTTCTGGAACTCTCTTGCTTTTTCTGTGATCCAATGGATGTTGGCAATTTGATCTATGATTTCTTTGCCTTTTCTAAATCCAACTTGAACATCTGGAAGTTCTTGGTTCACGTACTGTTGAAGCCTAGCTTGGAGAATTTTGAGCATTACTTTGCTAGCTTGTGAGATGAGTGCAATTGTGGGTAGTTTGAACATTCTTTGGCATTGCCTTTCTTTGGGATTGGAATGAAAAGTTACCTTTTCCAGTTCTGTGGCCACTGCTGAGTTTTCCAAATTTGCTGGCATATTGAGAGCAGCACTTTCACAAGATCATCTGTTAGGATTTGAAATAGCTCACTTGAAATTCCATCACCTCCGCTAGCTTGGTTCGTAGTGATGCTTTCTAAGGCCCACTTGACTTCACACTCCAGGATGTCTGGCTCTAGGTGAGTGATCACACCATTGTGTTATCTGGGTCATGAAGATTTTTTTTGTATAGTTCTTCTGTGTATTCTTGTCACCTCTTCTTAATATCTTCTGCTTCTGTTAGGTTCATACCATTTCTGTCCTTTATTGTGCCCATCTTTGCATGAAATATTCCCTTGATATCTCTAATTTTCCTGAAGTGATCTCACGGTAGTACAGCTGACTTTTGAACCCAGACAAGGCAGTCTATACAGTTAACATGCTCTGAAAAAGTATATGTAGAGTATACAGTTAACATGCTCTGAAAAAGTATATGTAGAGTATTAAGAGCAGCTCATGGTACAGATTAAATCTCAATAAATGCTACCTGTCACTCTTGTTAGTTACAGCATTATTTTAGGATCTGCCAGATTTGGTCCTAAAATCTCTAGGGTAGACTTTACTTCGATTCTTTAGTTATAAGAAGATGAATGTTTCCAGAAACCAGAATGTAAGATCAGCACAATACACTGCAAAGCAAAACCCAGCAGTAACCTGGGCAACCCTCTGTCAAGAAGTAGAACTTCCACTGTCTGAGCTTTCCCGCACCGCCAAGCTGGAGAGACTTAACTTGATTTTGGCTAAAGGAAGATGTAGAGAAGTATGTTTGCAACACAGAACCAGTGGAGATGGAAATTGTGGACCAGTAATTTAGTATCTAACCCTTTTGATTAAGTCTCTTAGAGCTGAAGTGACCCAATTACAGGTCTCATTACTTCATTTGAATCAGTTCAGTGGTAATACTCAATTTCAACTTCTTTCTTCATTAAGGGTCCTAAAAGGCAAATTTCTCTCTGCTGTCTGTAGAAAAATAAAATAGCAAACAAAGATAATTGTTGGAAAAAGCAGGATATGTCCAGATTTTACCACTATTCCTTATTCTCTTCTATTTCCATGCAGCCTATAATTTATCTTGTGCGGAAAAGGTACATAGAACTTGGTGCTATTGATTTATAGTTTGTCAGTTAACTTTTTTTGGGCAGTAAATCAATATTTGTTTTTGTTATTGTCACTATTTTTAAAATTATTTTTCAGGATAGTTTCATATTGCAAAGATACTACCATAATTACTGTACACCCTGTACCCAGTTTTCCATATTACTAACATTTTGCATTATTATGAAATATCTATTGTAATTAATGAACCAGTATTGATACACTGCCATTAACTAAAGTCCATGCTTTATTTGGATTTCTTTAGTTTTTCTCTGAAGTCCTTTTTCTGTTCCAGGATCCCATCCAGGATGCCACATTACATTTAGTTGTCATATTTTCCTTAGGCTCCTCCTGGCTGTTTCTCATCTTTCCTCTTTTTGATGACCATAACAGTTTTGAAAAGTATTGGTTGGATAGATGCTTTGTAGAATGTTCCTCTGTTATGGTATGTCTGATGTTTTACTTAATGTAGGGCTGAAGTTAGAGGTTTTGGGGAGAATTACACAGAGGTAAAGTGTAATTCTTATTGCATCATCAAAACTACATATTAATAACATAACTCATCATTGTTGATACTGACCTAGTCACCTAACTGAGGTATTTTTGCCAGGTTGCCCTATGGCAAACTTTCTTTTTCCATCTGCCCACACTGTCCTCTGAGCAGAGGGCACTATGTGCAGTCCGCATGGGAGGAGGAGGGGGTTATGGTCCATCTCCTTGGGTGTAGAGAATCTACTAAATCATCTGGAATTCTGAATGGAGATTGTCACTTCTTCCCCCTTTGTGTCAATATGGATTCACAGATTCTTAGTTTATGTTTTAGGTT